AGTTTGGAGATTACTACCATATCACCCAGACTTAAATCCAATAGAAATTATCTGGGCTGTAGTAAAAAATAATGTAGCTATAAAGAATATTCATTTTAAATTAGCACATTTACAAATGTTAGCTGAAATTTAATTTAAATCAGTAACCCAAGAAGACTGGAAAAAAAAAGATGTGCACATGTAATAGCTGTCGAAGATAAATATTAAGATCGCGAAATTATAATGGACAACGTTGTAATTCCTACAGTTATTATTAATGTTAATGAAGACAGCAGTGATAGTTCTAGTGATAGTGATGATTTTGATGAGGATTTTTGAGAACTCTGTTAATTTGTTTATGTTTATTTTGTTTGATAGTAATTATAGCAACAAGGAATAGAGGTTAGTATAAATTCTGTATTTGTTGACCTATAACATATTTTAAAAAAATCTTCGTTGTCTTATTTTAGTATTTGTAAGCTGATGACTTTCACCACTTCTACTTTATCCTCATATTTTGTTAAAATATTAAAGATATAGAGAAAGTAAAAGTTGAAAAGTCTTTTGGTAGGTAGAGAGGGGGTAAACGTCAAACCACGTCGGGCGGCTCCGAGAATTTCGCAGTAATGTTTACCTACCAGTGTCGTTTCATAGAATAAGTAATTTTAAATTGTTATCGGCGGAACCGGACAATCGCATGTATTTATGGATTATAAATAATTATTAAACCTGTATTATATTATTCAAATCATAATTTTACAAAATTTCAACAGCTAGTCACACTTTATTAAACTATTTACTCGAAATTGTTATTAACATCTATAAAATAATTTTGTACGCCAATGTATCGCGTCCACTTCGGTGAGATCCGCTGCCAACCTGTCAATTTATGTGTATAAAGTGGGAGAACTGGCAGAAGCATTTCCAACTTTTACTTCTGTTCTATCAAATGCAAAATCACCATTTTAGCCCGTAGATAACAAATAAATTTTAACAAATTCTGTAGCATTTAAAAACTTATTTACATAATTGCGTTTGATCCATTGTGTAGGTAATCTGATATTTCCTGTAATACCATCAAATGATAGCCACTGTTGATAAAACATTCTTAGAAACGAGGGCGGACTCGATTTAACCGTTATTAAGGATTACAATTTTAGGTAATTTTCTTAAAATTTTGTGATTAATCTGAGCGTGATCGTTTTAAAAATCCTAGAAAATTTATTTTAAGCGTATAACAAACTGTGTCAACAAATCAACTCTGCCCTCAACTGCCATAGTGAATTTCATTTGACAGATCGCTGGATTGCCTTATTGGCATCGCCGCAACAATTGCCAGAATGACATTTCTTCTACATAAATAGGAGTTTCATGGACGTACAGAATATCAAAATTATTTAATGTAAAGTATGTTTTTTTGAGTAATAAACATGTAAAACAATTTTTATATTATTTCTTTTTCATTTATTTATTAAATACACTGCTCTACAGGCTAAATGCCTAGTTATAGAACAGGAAAAAAATGTGTAATTACAAAACTAAATATGATCAAGAATAAGACGTGTATATGCTAATTAATTGAAGAAATTCTAAAATCATAACAAAAAAATCACACTTATATAATTCGGTTTTTGGTAATATGACTACGTTCATGAATGCTCATGAATATTCGTGACATTTTTGGATTATTAGCTTAGTTAGGGACATTTGAATTAGTTACTAGTACTTTGACGTCATTGATGACGTAAAACGGTATTTGTATTAAAAATACTATAGTTCTCATAAATTTATTGGACAAAAACTGTCAAATAATATATTGTTAATCAACACCCGAATCAATACCTTTAAGTAATAGTTAAACAGCTATAGAAAAACAATGTTTAATAAGAAATAACATAAACAACGAACGCATTTGATGGGACCCCCTATATTGCCAATTTACAGATTTTTAGTGCAGTGACCAACCGGGCAGGTGTACACTTCCATTCTTTCATTATTTTTATTTTCAATTTCGCATAAGATCGCGCGGCGCTTTAGGCGCTATTTAAATTTCCATTTTTTTTCTTTTTCACCACATACCGTAACCTAAATAATAACTATAACTTTCTCGAAGTAATATAAGGATATTTTTGGGCTCATAATAGTATTAAGCCTCATGACAATATTACAGATAATGTAAATGATGAGTAATATATACAGGGTGTCCCAGCTTTTAGTTTACAGGCTCTAGTTATGTATCCTGTATATTTCTCAGAAAAAGTTTTAAGTAAAAGTAACTTAAATTGGCAAAGTCTACAAAATGCTGCTCTATAAGATTTTAAGGACTTTATGGAAACTGGCAAGCAAAAATAAAAAAAATCAAAATATTTAACCCACCTACTTTTGACAAAATCCAAAATTATATTATCAGAGCCTGTAATATCACTTTTGTGTAAAAAATGTTATATATACCTCTTGGTTATTCATTTCCTAAGACATCGTAACAATAAAATTGTATTTTTTAATGGCCAATATATGAACATAATTTTTATATTATTTGTTATTTTGCCATAAATTTCAATTAATACCAACTCTTTGATTATTCTGTTATATCAGTTTCGGTTTAAAATAACAGTTATGTTAAACATGTTATATTAAATTTCTAGACCTTATTATTCTATAAAATACTATCTTACACTTGCACATTTTTAATTCTTTGAAACTTATTTTATCGATAAGTGGAATTCTCGATGGAATTACTAAAAATTAGTTATTATAACCTTAATCATCCATTTTATAAAAATTAGTAAATATTGCTTACATTTTCTAAAAAAAAAAAAGAAATAAAAATGTAGATTTGGGTTTCATTCAGAAAAGTCCGTATCTGGCAGATCGGCCATATCTAGCAACAATTTTATCAATCATGATGCGGTAGTAGTTTTTATAGTCTAAGATCCGAAATAAGGTCGACCTTCACCCATCTGTTTAATGGATAAAACTTTCTTTTTATTATGGGTTGCCTAAGAAAATTCGGTCCAGACTATTTATTTTCTTAAAGTAAAAAAAACGACACCCTGTAAAGTATTCCCTAAATGCTTTGACTGTACCCAAACTTTAATCAGCTCATCGCAGGATAGATTTAAGCTCAAGTTTAAAATTTGGTATTTTTCTCTTCATCCGTTTTTGAGTTATCTTCAAAATTCGAAATTTGCACTTTTCATCAAATATCTCAAATTAGGTCCATTTTAGGAAAATCATGTATAGAAACAAAATAATAGAGAATGATATCATAAACAACTTTTATCATGATTCCTATATTTTCCTTATCTGTACACAGAGAGGAGAGTAAAAAAAGCCCTAACCGTATTTTCTTAGGCAACCCATTTGCGGTATATTTAGAAACATATTTTATTTAATAAAAAATAACTTTTATCCATTAAACAGATGGATGAAGGTCGACCTTACTTACGGATCCTGGACTATTAAGTTTATATTAGCCAGGCTACGGATAGGCTTCGTCTTATGTACATTCTTCTGCGAGTTGTTTTGTTGCATTGTCAATGTGGTGTTGTTGCTAAATTTCATGTTTTTTGTTTATCTTTTAAAGAAGTATTCTTTTACAATGCACTTTACTAACATTGAACTGACAGTCGGGCTTGTGCGCATCATGCTGTGGTCATGGGGATAAGTATATGATTTCAATGTATGGGGCTGCTTGCTCGGCAAGCACATATTCTTTACAGCTTCCTGATTTATCTACGTACGTTTATAACAACTGAACCGATTAAACAAATAACCGAGAAAATAAAAAAAATGTGGCCGTGGAAATGACAAGATTCTGACATAATTTCTATAGTACGGGAATACGAGTAATGACATGTCTTAATAATAACGACATTTAAAATAATTTTTAAAGTGTTTCCGGCACATACTTTGATTACTATACGGGGCAAGAGAGAGGTCCGATACCACATACTTTGATTTTCTTTTACTATACGGAGAATGGTCGCACTGCGCAGCTTTCTGAGTGTCTTTTAAAAGGAGATAGAAAACTCCGCCATTTTGAACCCTTATTACGTGTTGCCTACATCTTGGCGCAATATTTTTAATAGGTGCGTTTTAATCACCCGCTTCTGCTTCGGAATTGTCGGTTTTCTTGTTTTAATCTGACAGGTTAAAACGACTAAACCGACAATTCCAGAAGCAGAAGCGGATGATTAAAACGCACCTGATATTTTGCTTGCTGCTGTCAGTGTCAGTGAATATAATTTTTGAAGTCACAGTTTATTGATAAAGAATCAGTTAGCTCACTCGGACCAGTTGAAAGTTCCAAAATAACATCCACTTCAGGGATACAAATTCAGGATACGCAGAAGACTGCTGTTTTATTATAGGCGGTTGTCATATATTGTATTATCCGAGTTGCGCAGTGTATAAACTGGAACATTGAGATCAAAAGTGCCGACGCAGAGTGAGCGATCTGATTCTTTAGCTATAAACTGTGTCATAGGAATCAAAATGGCCGCGCCCTATGTAGGGCGTGTCGGACCTCTCTCTTGCCCCGTATAGTAATCAAAGTATGTGGGACAGAGACAGAAGTGACATTTTGCATGTTTGCCGTCTTCTCTAAAATTTACCAATTATTTACTTTTTGTACCTTTGGGTAAAGGTCAAACTTTAAAACGCACTATAACTTACAACCACTTTTATATTGGAATTCATACCTACTAGTTCTTTTGGCCATTGAAATTAATTTTTCTTTTATTTTTTCATCATTTATTTTTATGTAAATATTGAATAGAGAGTTGTTGTCTTGTGTAGTTGTGTTTGTGTATGTCCTTTATTATGTTTAATAGGAAGAATTTTTAATTAAGGAACTGTTCTGTTTTTAGTTTTTAGTTCTTGACGGTATCTACTTTTTTAAATAAATCGTTTAGTAATTGTTATCTGGAATTTCCATTAGCAATTGCATTTTTGAATATGGTAACCCTACTGCCTCCCCCACCCATTTACTTGTTTCTTCAACCGATACAAACAAATAAACTGTGAGACAGGAACACAATATATTTAATTCTTATAAAAATTTAAAATTTTTAAGACGTAACTTTATGTATACATTTAGCAACATACTCTACATTTTTACTAGTTATTCCAGGAATAGCGAGCCTTCCACTAGTTAGCATATAAATGTGGAATTCCTTTTGAAGTCTTATTATTTGCTCCTTAGTGAGACCAGTATAAGAAAACATTCCAATTTGTTTAGTAATAAAATCCCAATTTCTACTACTGCCAGTTTCTTTTAATTTTTGCAATAATTGTTTTCTAGCGGATTTTAGTCTGTTGGCCATTATTTTAAGTTCTTCTATCCAAAGCTTGGTTAAACAGGGATCTGTAAATACTTCTTCTACAATTCTGGCTCCATGAAGTGGGGGATTGGAATGGTTAGCTCTTATTAGAAGTATAAGTTGGGATAGTATTTTATCAGCTTCGTGTTTGGAATCCACTAGAAAAGATGTAGCCCCTACTCGTTCACCATACAGTCCAAAATTTTTGGCGTAACTTGTTACTAACACCATGTTCACACGCCGTTTAGCCATTATTCTGAAACTTTGAGCATCTTTGTTCAAATCACCACTGGCAAAACCTTGATATGCGTTATCCATAATAACATATAACTTTCTTTTCTTAACTTCTTCAGTAATTTCCTTCCATTGTTCCTCGGTAGGATCAAATCCTGTAGGATTATGGGCTGAAGCGTGAAAAAGTATGATTGATCTATAGGGCATTTTGTGAATGTCCTCCATCATGCCATCAAAATCAAGAGATATATTTTCTGCATCATAATATCGGTAAGTGTCTGTTTTAAGACCGAGCTTGTTAAACAGATTTTGATGATTCGGCCATGTTGGATCTGATATGTACACCATTTTACGGCCTGGATAGAACATTCTTAAAAATTGGGCTGCTATTGATAAGCCACCACAACCTAGAAAGGAAAAATAGAAGATACAACTACATAACAGTGATGTTTGGAATTCCACACTGTCGAAAGTGTAGAATATGTAGCTACAGATGACGCCACGTTATAGAATTTTATCGTTGAACGATACAATAGAAAATTCGTAGTTATAAAAAGGCAGATTTTAAAGATAAGAAGGAAAACAGAATAACCTTTCAAATTTTTTATTAAAGTATATATTTTTAAGGTAGATTAGACTCCAAAGTAATACAGTGGGCTGCCCACTCTCAAGATTTAACGCTCTTCAAATTATTTTTAGATATACATGACAAAACCAAGATTTAGGTTTTGAGGCAGAGGATTAGTAAAGAATGTAGGTTAGTCTAGAAATTACACTAACGGGCCTTAGTTCATAAAAAACTACCTCTTTGGTATCATATGCTGAACTACCTCATTTACTTGGAGAGGTATTTAAGAAAAGTATTCGTTTTAAAGTTACTATTTAGTTCAGATCTATTTACCCGATAAACCTTGAAAAGTTACATGTCTTCCAGGTTTGTTGAACACACTGCTTTTTCCAAAAGTAAAATCCATGGACAACTTTTTAAAAATTTCAAAACCCGCAACAGGAGAATATTCTTTGTCCATTCGTTTTTTTAAAATTTTTTCTTCAGCTTTTTGAACACATTTCAGTATATATGGTTTATCTTCATCGGTTCTGAAAACACCAATGCCTAAATTGACTTTTGGTTTACTGGTGTCCTTTTGGAAATCCTCTACTAGACCGAAAATTGCATCTCGTTCAGCCCTTGGAATTCTTGCAAACCAACCGATGTTTCTGCATTGCTGTGGCATAGTATGGTAGTAACATTTTCTTATTGCTTTTGGTCTAAACGATTTTTGTAAGTAAAACATGAATTTAGTTGAACAAAAACATTATTTTATTGTCGTTAATGTCGAAATATCATAAATGTCTATCGGCTGTAATGACAGTGATTCCTGCCGAAGACACCAAGGAGTAAAACTATGTAAAGGATTGTTTAAAAAGAAAAAATTAAGCAAACCTTCCAAGCACGACAGCAGAGACAAGTGACAAAGATTGGAAACGCTCATAAGAAGCCCATGCTTAATAACCTCCGAGCAAATTGCTCGGAGTTAATAACGACCAGCTCGAACGCAGTTAACATTTGACCCACTATGTGGCGCTTTCATCGATATCAAATAAATAAAGTATCGAGAAATTTAAAAACCTGAAAGAAAAGGTTGTTGTATACATATCAACTACGGCGCCGCATTCATTTGCGAGCCAATTTTGTGGTAAAACATGGGTTTTGAATTCTACGGAAGACCATGTATATTTATTTGCATGGTTCTGCCGTATTAGCAGAAATTTAATTTCTGTTCATACGACATCCAGATTATTAAAATTGCCATGTGTTACCGTTTTCGATGATGGTGGGTGGGGTTTTCCGGGTTTTCCGCACCTGTAAGTCAAATTGCATCATCAATCATCTTTAAAGCACCACGGTAAATAATAATAATAATAATAGAAGTTATCGGGGTGGGTGGCTCAGTGGTAGAGTCTCTGCCTGTGGATCCAAGGGTCCCAGGTTCGAATCCCACCGTTGGCCGGAATTTTTTTATTTAATTTAATTATTTAAAATTATTAATTCTGATGCCTTGGTAGAATTCCCCACTCGACCATTCACTGTTGGGTTCTAATTAATAGTGCTGTTCCTAAAGTGGCGCTGGGAATAGAAGTCCCTTTCCCCGGATAAGCTCAGCTTTTGAGGTTAAAATTAACTCGTAATGTGGTGAATTAAAGACAGTATTATTATATTATTATATCAATTGCACTCTTAGTTCTGATATATAAATTTAAACAATGTTAAATTATTTATTAAATAGAATATTACGCTTACAGTCTATTATCGGTTAAATCTATTCACGACAAATATTTTTGAATTTTTGTTCTTATTTTTCAAACGAATGGCCAACGGTGTCTCATTTTTAAAAATATCGAGTACAAACTTAATAATGGGAATTCAGATATTTTTCTTCCTACATCAAATCTTCTCTTTAACGTTTTGAAGTCATTTTCTTGTTTTAAAATAATAAATAAATACCTACTTTGTGATAAAAGTTGGCTACTGTTTGTGTTATTTTCATGGCTAGATTGTACTTTGGTAAATTAAACAACGCCACATTGGGGTTGTTAAATTTATTCATGTGGCATGTGTTACTAATACAAGACGTGCTCCGACTCATTGTAATATTACAAAATATAATTATTACCTTTAAATTTTACACAAAAACAACCAAAACCATTTCGCTTAGTTCATCTAGAGTGTCTTAAATTTCCCGTAGAACGCCTTCAGGTCCAATGGTTACCACTAAATTCAAGATACATAGACAATTTCCGACTTACGAAGATCTACAGGTAACGCAAATAGTTTTGACTGTCTGATGAACAGCTCTGGCTCTGGTTTCGCTCTGAGTAGACAAAGGCGTAGTCCGTTGGGTACCAAGATTCAAAGTATTTAAATAAGGGCGCCAGGCCGATTTGAATGCCAGATAAATATTTTTTAGTCCTCAACCCAAATAGATCAAATAATAGGAATGAAATGAATTTTATTTTTAATTCGAGTCAGAAGTATAAAAAATTGATTTTAAGATATTATTAGGTAATTATAAAAGCATACTTCATCATCCTCTTATTATTTGAACAGGGTCTTTTTTATTTTTTAACCAACCCATAAAAATTAGATAATATTCTATATTTACGTTTTGGGGTCCCAGAAACCTAAGAACATATTTTGAAAAATATCTGGATGTATATATACAGTGTGTCCGCAGATAAAGTACTTGTAAAAATATTTACTTTAAATAAAAAAAAATTATTCTTCATATTTTATTTTGCTTGTTAAATACATACAATTTCGATTTCGTTGTACATGGTGCGCAATACAAAATATATTTGTGGATTTAATACAATTTTTTAGGCGCTCAAATGAAAAGTTTTTCGATTTCTCCTTACAAGCTTATTATTAAAGCGCTTCCAAAATATTTTTCTTTTAAAATTTGGCAAATCCATAATTTGTACACAACATTATAGTAATATGTGTGTGATGTTATTTTGGACAATATAACCAAAACTATTTAGCGGATTTTGGAACATAGGGTTTCCAGTGCCCCCTAAAGAGCTGGCGGTATTAGACCGTCAAATAGTGCCTGATTTAGGTGCCCCATTATCGAATACAAGCCTCGAAGAGGGTTGAAAAGTACATCGATGTTGAGTAGAATGAAAGGAAATTTACGAGTGGTCCCTGGGGATAACATATGGAAAATTTAATTTTCCTTAACAGAAATAAAAGGTGTTTTTTGCTCATGTTTCCACGCAAGCCGTGTTCACTGAATGATTAGTTAATAGAACTTGGCTTCGAAAATATAATAAAATTGGCATGAGTAGCGAATGTGTACGGAACGAAGGCTTGCATCGGAAAGTTGAAGGGATATTATATGGGAAATGCCACCATTTTCTCACGATAGCCGTTTGTCATATATTTAGAAAAAGTAATAAGACTATATGACAAAAGGTTTGAGTGTCAGACATGGTCACCATATTAATTATATATAATTTATTTGAATAATGTAACACAACAACCTGTGACTTTAATTTTGACCAAAAAAAAGTTTATTTATAATAATAAGAATAATTAATAACGTACAATAATTATTTAATTCGATAATTTGTATATTTAAGTCAGTGAAATAATTTATTATAAAATTATATACCTATCAAAAATCATAGGTACATCAACATTTTCTAATCGACTTCAAAAAATCATTTTGATCTATCAAAATATTTAATAATAATAATAATAATAATAATACTCTCCTTAATTCACCCCCTTACGAGTGAATTTAACCCCAAAAGCTGAGCTTGTGCGGGGAAAGGGACGGCTATCATTATTATTTGCAGTGGCCCTCTAGGGCGACTTAAATATGATTGATGGTGCTCACTCATCATCATCGAGACGGTAATGCATGACAATTTTTATAATCTGCATGTCATATCAACAGAAATTGAATTTCTATTAATACGGCACACATCAAATCCTATACCGAACCATGCAATTTAATTAAAATTCCACATGGTCTGGTTTGGGATTCGAAGCCCGGCAGTCTCTGACCATAAACTTGCCTATAAATAAATATAAGTGCGTTAGACTGCGACACCACCGACCCATAACATTCTTGATTGCTTTAATATCTTAATTAATGCAATTTAAGATAGTGTATATTCCATAGAATACTTGATTGTCATTATTAAATTCTAGGATACCTACTTTTTCATGTTAAGTAGCAGAATTTTTAGTTTATACATACATTAATTTTATAATAATTCAAAAATGGACCAACATATCTTTGTAAGTAATCTGTTCATATTATTTAACAGGTATTTTAAAGTTTATATTTAATAGCCCTTTAAAAGAATATATAATTTTTTCTATAAAAGAAACATATTGTTTCTTCAGCACAAAATTCATTTTTAAATTAAACCTAAGATATGAAAAAGATAGATATCATTTTCCTTGAATAATATTATATACCTATTAATTGTTAAAATATTAGAGAAACTTAAAATAGTATACGAATAATCACAGAACAATCAATAGTAACCCTGTATAAATATTACCTGTAAATTTTTTTTCAGCTCTTTTTTAGATAAATAATATGTTGCATGTCCGATACTTAAGCCTTTTGTTACATCGTTTTAGAATCACTTTTTCTAAGCATATGTCAAACGGCTTGTGTAAGAAAATGTTGACAATTTGCATACATTTTTCCAGCAACTTTCTTATGTTCTAAAAATTTGAAGACCACGCTCTACACTCAAGCCATTATTTTTTTATGGGTTCTTAAATTCATAAGTTTTTATTGCAAAAAATTTCGTTGATGGGAAAATAACTGAAAAATCGAAAAAATTCCGTTAAATTTTTCAACCCCAAAATGGACTTATCCAGTCGTGCCATTTAAGTCAATATGTTTTTTGGGCTAGGACGGTGTACGTTTTTATACTCTTGATTGGCTTGTGTAGAAAAATCAGTTAAATCTCAATTTTTTTCTTACAAAATTACGATCTTATTTTAACTCTTTGGCCACTTACATCACTAAAGCGTTTGGTTTTCCGAAGCCAAGTTTTATTAATTAATCATTTAGTGAACACGGCTTGCGTGGAAATAGGAGGAAAAAACACTTTTTATTTTTGTCAAAGAAAATCGAATTTTCCACATGGTATCCCCAGGTGAAACACTTAAATTTCCATTCATTCTACTCAACATCGATTTACTTTTCAACCCTCTTCAAGGCTTGTATGTGAAAATGGGACACCTAAATCAGTCACTATCTGACGGTCTATGTAGCCAGACCAAATGGCAGTACTTTATGCAGTCATTTTTGTACTTTTTGGCATTATTGTGCTACTTATAATTGGAGAAGAAAATTCTTCGGATAACATTTTTTCGTGATATCATTGTCTATAATTTTTGTAATTTACATGAAATCTCTCAAATGGATCGTATTGGAGATATTTGATGAAAAGTATTTTTGTTTTTTTTTTGTTTTGACCGGGATTTAACTTTAATGGAAGGTCACGTGTTGGGATATATCAGATATAAATGCAAAACAATAAAATATTGGATTGTAAACTATATTAGAATTTTAATTGCCTCCGATTTCGAGCAGGTTTAGGTGGAAAGGTTGCTGCTGTATATTACAAAAATAAAAATAATGATTACAAAAATTTTATTTATTACCTTTTCCAATATCCCCAATGGTTGCAAGGACTGCAAAATCTGTAATTTATTTTTAGAACTATGAATTTGAATTTTTTTACTCTTTATAAAATTCTTTAAAATTGTGATTATTTTTTTCCTTGTTTTTGACCAATTTATTGTTATTACTTCTATAGACAGTTAAGAAAGAAGTGTCAACATAAAAATCACCCTGTATTCTGTGTCCCTTTGTAGATAACTTAAACGCATTCATTGTTTACCTACAAATAAATAAAAATTACGAAGCTATACA